GAGCACCAACCCAGTACTGAGGGAGATTGAAGCTGGAATTGGTTAGGTAACTAACCATTTATGTGTTGATGTGGGAGCCACGAGGGGATCAGAGGGCACTACAGTTTTTGAAATACAACTTTGCATTCATAACACTATAGAAGCTCTTTAAGGAGTCAAAATGCCATAAAAGGGCATTGAATCACAAACGGAGATAGTTTGTATAGAGTGAGACCCTTTGCATCATTTCTGTGTCATTGACACATGCACACTGTAACAATTAAGATGCTAAGGTGACGGTATTATAAATGGCAAAAAGATGTGAGATGCTAAAATGCCCTAAGATACTCCATAGACCCATCTTCAATTTGCCATTAAAAAAAACAAAAAAAACACACTGCAGGTTATACATTCAGCCCTATATTTTAAAGAAACATTCAGAAGTGTATGTAAAAGTGGTCATTCTATACTCCTATAGCTGAGCACAAAGTGATTTGTTTTTGTCAGGATCTTATCTGATGTGGAGTCAGAAGTGCAGAGTAATATACTCACCCTTGCAAATAAACACAGACCAAAGTGACCAGATAAGAAGCCACCTGGGCTGTGTGTCTATGCACAGGGTTTGTGCAGGATATAGCTCCAAGTTGCAGTACAGGTAAGGAAAAAAGCAGGAGAATAGTCGAGGACAAGCCAAAGTCAGAGGATGCCAGAGGTCAGGATAAATGATGAGAAATATCAAGATCATGAGGCATCTATCTGGAGAACACTTGATCAAGAACACATACAGGAACCAGAGTCAATGAACTGACAAAGTTATCAGCGTGAGGCATTGCTTATTTACCCAGCTAATTAATGATCTGCTTCAGGTGGGCTAGACAGCCACGGGTAAAGTCCAGCCCCCAGTGTTGGAGACAAGGCGAGGATAAACATTAAGCAGACACAAGGACTGAAGTGTGGCCCAGAGGCAAGACAGCAGAACTAAGGCAGAAAAATGTCATGATGAGAACCATGACAGTTTTACAGTAGCACACTTTAAGTTTACAACATAAATCTATAAATTTCAATGTGCTCGTAAAACAACCTTCTAAAATAAAATATTGCTTAAAACTTTGAAACAAACTTGTGCTAAAATAGATGTACTAAAATACTCAAAATCTACCATGATATACTCTTTCAGAAATGGAATATATTTATGTAGTAATTTGAACTTTCACACTGTACAATGCCCCGAAATGGGCCTATTAAATCCATCTATAAAAATTCTAACTGTAAAAACAAATAGTCAGGTATCTTATATTGCACTGTAAATTCATTTAATATTGGCAAAGAAATTTATTGGGAGTATTTTTATTCAGAAGAGTTTGCTGAGCATAATAGGGCGTGCAGGGGTACATAGTGACACATATTCGATTTGCAAAGTGCCCAGCAAAAATGTAATTTGTATGTGAAAATAAAAACAAATTTAAAATGCTTCACACATTTTGACATAAACTGGTGAAAAAAAATGGCAAAATTTTATGGAACATCATAGCCCTTATACGTTACCCTGGAGTGTCTATTTTCACAAATTATGAAACTACTGCCTTTGTTGGTTATATTGAGCAGTCAAACTGCTGTAATGCCCTAAAATTAGACTTAGGCCCATCAAATCTATCAAAATTCTAACTGTAAAAACAAATAGTCAGGTATCTTATATTGCACTGTAAATTCATTTAATATTGGCAAAGAAATTTATTGGGAGTATTTTTATTCAGAAGAGTTTGCTGAGCATAATAGGGCGTGCAGGGGTACATAGTGACACATATCCGATTTGCAAAGTGCCCAGCAAAAATGTAATTTGTATGTGAAAATAAAAACAAATTTAAAATGCTTCACACATTTTGACATAAACTGGTGAAAAAAAATGGCAAAATTTTATGGAACATCATAGCCCTTATACGTTACCCTGGAGTGTCTATTTTCACAAATTATGAAACTACTGCCTTTGTTGGTTATATTGAGCAGTCAAACTGCTGTAATGCCCTAAAATTAGACTTAGGCCCATCAAATCTATCAAAATTTTAACTGTAAAAACTAAAATGGCCAGGTCTCTTATATGACACTGTGGCTTCACATGATAGTGACAAAGGCATACAGCAGGGTATTTTTGTAATCAAACGAATGTACACAATATGGGATTTTGTAATGAAGTAGCAGACATTAGGTTTAAGAAATACACATAAAAAGCATGTGATGTGTGTGTGTGTTAAATATCAGAAAAACTCAACTTTACTACAATATTTAGGAGATATTGGCAGATTAATGGCCATGTAAAAATTGTTAAAATACCCTTAGGTAAATGGTGTGTGATATTTAATGTCTATGTTAGTAATATATACTTTTGTGTGGCAATTTTGTTTTCTGTGGTGCCTATTAAAGAAGGAACACATACTAAACTGTAAAATCTTACCACAATAAAACTAGATTTTACTCCATGTAGTTTGTGACCCATAACTTCTAAAAATGAACTGAAATACTAGCTATTTGATATACTCTGTAAATCAGGACAAATACATGAATTTATTTTTAATTACATTTTATCAAGCTCCACTACTTAATCACACAATATAAATTTCAAAATTATGCAAATTTTTTTTCTTCAGTTATTGTGCTGGATCAGTTTGTAATCCTGACAACTATAGCATTAGGAATACAGATTTTATTCTTAACACCATATTGCTCCTTAAAAGGGGCACCCAAGACCCCTGTAGCACTTTAGCTTGCTGAAATGTGTTATGTATAAAGAGTGTTTCCTTTTTTCCATTTTAGAAAGTGCAGGTTTCAAGAGATATTGAAAGTTTTTTAACTATCCATGTTACACTCCATGGCCTTCAAGCAGACAACAGTTTCTTTAACCTCTTGTTCTCCTAAAGGCAGGCAATTGCTCAGAGCCCTATCTTGCAAAGATTTCTTATTGAGCTGTATTGGAAAGTCTGTGATTGGACAGACACAGAGTCTGGGCTGTGCAAAAAGAGGAGGGCTTGCAAAGGCAGCAGACCAGAGATCTACAGCCTTTGCAAGCTGTTTATATATATTGACTTAATTAAAAACACACACATACATGTTTTCATTAGGGGCATATCTGTATATATAATGCACAGTAATGGTTCTTTTTTTGTTTTCGGTCAGTGAAGTGTACCTTTATGTACAGAAAAAAAACAAATGGAAGGCTGGTTCTTAAGAGGTTAAACATTCAGAATGGTGACATATACAATATATGATGAACAATCAAAAGAATGGGGATACAACGTTCAGCACATACAAATGAACACATAATAACTCTGCTACTCTAAAATATGATGTAGTAGTAGTTTTTGTTTACTAGTTGGTTAGTTTATCATACTAATGACATTTTAGCCTTATGTGGTTTTGTTGTCAAGCCAGACTTATTGTTTTTTGTCTTTGTAGTTGTTTGCAAAACTAAAGTTGTATTCTTTGTAAACTATTTCAGCTTAGAAAATATCTAAGAAGTCTGCATTTTAATATGTCTTCTGGTAAGGAGTTTACTTTTAATGAGACGAGAAATTCAAAGACACATTTTGAGCTGTTACAATACATTTATTTAAATAACACAATGAAAACAACCCACGTTGGAGATTACATTTTGACTGCAAACGCAGAGCCTAACCTCTACATCAAAGAGAGATCTATTATATGGGAATCAGATATCAAAGGTGTAAGTAATATTTAAACATACAACCAAAACATTTTACTATTACGTATGTACAATTATGCATGTGATCTATGAAAAATGTTTTTAGACAAGTAATTGTTGTTTGTTAATACTTTTATGAAAAGGTATTTTTTTAAATCTGAAAATTGATACACTTTCCAAACAAAACTATTCATGCATTGTACGTTTCCTCTAATGCAGGGCTTCCCAAACTTTTATGGATCGAGACCCACTTTTAAAAATGGTACAAGACCCACTTGCTTTTAATGCATATTTTAACACCATGGCAATCAGCTTTAGAGGCATACAATTGGCACACCATGGCAATCAGTTGTATAAGGATAAAATTGGCACACCATAACAATCATTTCTAGAGACATAAAATTGTCACACTATGGCAATCAGATTTAGATGCATACAATTGGCACACCATGGCAATCAGATTTAGAAGCATAACATTGTCATACCATGGCAATCAGATTTAGAGGTATACCATTGGCACCATGGCAATCAGTTTTAGAGGCAAACAATTGGCACACAATGACAGTCAGCTTTAGAGGTGTGGAGGATTATACCTGAACCAAGGCTCAAGTTACAGGTGACCGGATGACCAGTCTGTTTAAAACTGGCTAACTTGGATCATGATGTGCTTTGAACTTTATCCTAGTTTTAGTGCCTGACATGTAAGCACAATCTTTCTTGTGACGATTGCAGCTGTCACCCTCAGCCCCCACTTCTCATGTCCTAAGTAACTTCATTTTTTTTATATATAACTGTTGAAATATGCTTAGTTCTGTAAATTCTTTTTACGGTATAAAGTGCCTTCAAGCATCCTGTTTTTGTCGCGCAAGTCACAAAGGTATTTACTATATAGCCTTGTATGCTTTCCCATTAAAAAAGCAGAATCAGGGGGCGTGGCCTGGCATCTGAACCGCATGGACGCAAGTCTGTGAGGTTCCTGAACCTGGAGTAACAGGAGCAAAAATAATCGGTCTGCAAGAAATTTAATACCCCATAAGAACGGAACTACCTCAGGCGGACAGAGCGTCCTTTTTCCTCAACAAAACATCTGCACCCAAAGCACGGGAGGGCCGTAGCCCGACCAAAGATGGCGGAGTGCTATGTACCGGAGATGACTCAATCTCCCCCCCCCGCCTACCCCAGCTTGGTGTCGGAAGAGAGACCTCTGACCGCGACGACTATGCGTCTGATGATGCCGGAATTTGCAGAAAATATACAAGCAAACCTAAAAAAAACTAATAACTACACTCTCCACAGACCTCCGAAAGGAACTCCACAAAGTGGGCCAGCGTACCTCCCACGTGGAAAAGAAGATGGATGAATATGCCGAGGCCCACAACAGCCTTGCGGACAAGCTCCAAGAGCTTGAATCAACCCTACAGGAACACAAGCTAAAAATGGCAGATATGGAGGACCTGACTTGGAGGAATTACCTGCGAATAAGAGGGGTCCACCCCTCTGCACTTAACTCCTACCTGCTGGATTTTTTCCAAGCTCTCACGCCTGAGACCCACCCAGACCAGCTCCTCATTGACAGGGCCCATCGACTCAGATGCCCTCCACACTTACCCAGCACAACAGCCAGGGATGTCATTGTCCGAGTGCATTTTTTCCATGCTAAAGAGAGGCTAGTGCGACCATGCAGAGCGGTGGAGATGCCGGAACCCTACCAACAGCTGAAGGTTTTCACGGATCTATCAGCCGCGACCCTCCAATTCAGAAAGAGCATGTCACCAATCACGACCGCACTAAGGGCACAGGGAGTAGTGTACCGATGGGGATTCCCCGCAAAGCTGCTTGTCAGCCACAAGGATGCACTGCATGGAATCTCATCTCTTGCGGCAGGCATGGAGAAGCTTAACCCCTTAAGGACCAAACTTCTATAATAAAAGGGAATCATGACATGTCACACATGTCATGTGTCCTTAAGGGGTTAAGGCCTGGTACTACCTGCTGCCACGGAAGAGCGCTCCCATAACGTGCCACGAATGGTGCCGTAGTGGACAATTACCTGAAGCGGCCTGACCACAGCAGGTATAAAACCATCACGAACGATATAATAATTCACCTGCTATATATGTTGTTGCTTAATGTTATGTACCTGCTATTTCTCCCATTGGGCCCGGTTAACAATAGGTCCCCGGTTTGCTATATAGACATATTGCACTATGGACCCACTGTTTCCCTCAGAGTTAGGACCCTCAAACCAACCCTGGGTTCGGACACTGGGGGCCAAGTACTGCGGGATAGTTGTCACTCACACTACTACTCCCAAAGATAACTCCCATGATATGAATACTGCCTTGCTAAACCAACTGCCCTACCCACACTAGCCCAGGGCTAATAGGCATCTAGATCCAAGAGATCCAGTAAACACATGCCCTGACCCCTCTACACAAGGGGTAGTCTCGCCCGGCCTCATGTGGACAGTAAGGCTACAACTTCCTCCCGAACCACTAAGCCCAAGACCTCAAGAGCCTTTAAGGTGGGCGCGCTCCCCCTTGTTTTATTGCTTACTGTATACACAACAGTAACTACCACTCCGAAGTCATGTATTGACTATGACAGCCACAGAGTCCCCTCCCAGGTATTAAAGCTTGGCTACGTAAGCCCATCCCTGAAGCTCATTAAAAAAAAAAAAGTGTATATATATATAAATAAATAAACAAACACAATAGGTACCTATTACCCTGAATAAATGTTATTGTTTAATAGTTCTCCACTTGCTCCTCCAAGGTGAGCTCTCAATATTGAGCCGATGCTCACCACCACGTCCCCTGGTATCGGCGGCCAAGTCCCACTTGGCGCTCCTTGGTTCACTCTAGGTGAACCTAGTTGGGCATCTTACCCCCAAGTTCTTCCCCCCCATGTACCCTCTTTCCCCCCTCCACCCATTCTGTCCCTGCCCCCCGTAAGTGCAGCATTACTAGCAACTCCCAAAACTTCTATAAAACAGATACAGTACCGACCCCTACCACATTCAGAGACAGAATCACTACAATCCTGAATGTACTGCAGACAACATGTGCCCGCTGGAAATCGCAGTTGGAGAGTGTCCAAGGCCCTCCCCAGATCTGGGAAAATCAGTTGACCCCGATACAGGTTGAGATTGCAAACATGAACCTTAAGGAACCCCACTTAACCTTTATCCTAGAGTATGAAAATCATTACTTACAATGTTAAAGGGTTGAATACCCCTAGTAAACAAAGGCTTTTACTCAGAGACCTCAAGAAAAACCAAATAGCTTGCATACAAGAAACCCACTTTAAGAAAGGACACACATCGGCCCTATTCACTAAACATTACCCCGTCCAATACCACTCGCTATCGGACAGCAAAACCCGAGGGGTCTCCTTTTTCATCCACAGAGATGTAGCTCAACAACTCCACCAACAACACATAGACCCCAACGAGCGATATTTCATCCTCATGGGGCTGATTAATAACACACAGTATATGTTGGCTACAGCCTACTTCCACAATGACAACTCCAAGTCCTATCTTCATTCCATGCTCACCAAACTTGACAAATACAAACAGGGCAACCTACTCCTATGTGGTGATTTAAATTTCACAGACTAACCTCGATACATCGACCCACACTTCAGGCCGAACACATAGCACTAGAGAAAGAGTCGCTAAAGCTCTCACTAAACTCCTATCCCACTACGACCTGTATGACGCCTGGAGGACACTTCACCCCACTGAGCGAGATTATACGTTTTACTCTAGGGTACATAATACCTACACGCGGATAGACGCTTTATTAGTAGATAGAGCCTCACTAGCACAACTCTCTGGATGCTCCATAGGAGAGATTACCTGGTCAGACCACGCCCCAGTCTCCCTTGAACTATTTGATCTGTTCCAATTTAAAGGGAAAGGGACATGGCGTCTCAATGACTCCCTGCTCTCGGACCCAGAATTCGCAGCCACTATCCGAAGGGAAATCCAGGAATACTTTAGGACTAATGCGACGGCAGAAATGTCTGACTCAACTGTCTGGTCCACTCATAAGGCGGTCATAAGAGGCCATATGATACGTCACTCCTCTTTCCTCAAAAAACGTCAAATCTCTAGCACCCTAGAGTGCCACAAGCAAATTGCACTAGTAAACTCTCTGAATAAAATACAACCCTCAGAGGAACTGGCGAATAAACTGTCCAAACTATATGTGTTGGAAAAAACTTGGAAAAAAACAAACACATGTTACATAAATTACGAGCTACCACATACCACAATAGTGGTAAGGCATCAAAATATCTGGCCTCTAGGCTGCACAGCCACTATTCCGCTAACAAAATAACCCACATTAATAATGACGTAGGTGAGAAAGTTGTAAACCCAGAGGACATTGATCAAGAGTTCACAAACTTTTATTCGAAACTTTACAACCTCCAACAGGATACCACGATACACTACCCAAATGACATGGGCATCTTCCAGTACCTATCCGCAATCCAACTCCCCAACATCTCATAAGCACATACAGAACACCTCCTGCAACCCATAACACTAGAGGAAGTCCTCTCAGCTATTAAGGCCCTGTCACCTGGCAAATCCCCGGGGGCTGATGGGTTTACCAATGCCTATTATAAAGCATAAGCGGAAGACCTAGCACCCCACCTCCTTAGAGTATACCTGGAGACCGTCAAAACCAACTCTCTCCCACCGGAGATGCTACTAGCCACCAGAGTACCAACCTATGCAAAAACTTCCACCCCATCTCGCTTCTGAATACAGACGCGAAGATATATGCCAAAATTCTGGCTAATAGACTGAGCCCCATACTACCGACACTGATAGTGGACAACCAAACGGGGTTTGTCCAGAGCAGACAAGGCTCTGACAATACACGCAAACTCTCCTTGGTAATGGAGAAGCTCCGGGGGACCGGCGGGGGCTGACTGCTCTTGGCGTTAGACGTGGAGAAAGCGTTCAACTGCCTCAGCTGGTCCTTCCTGAAACACGTATTAACTAAGTATGGCATCCCCCCACAAGTCACTGGCCAACTATTTGCCCTGTACTCAGCCCTAACAGCCCAAGTCATGCAAGCGGGTTTTCTGTCCCGACCCTTTCCGATAAGCAATGGAACTAGGCAAGGATGCCCATTTTCCCCGTTATTATATGTCCTAGCCTTGGAGCCCCTCTTATGCACGGTTAGGGACCACCCAGATATCTGCGGAATAGAAGTAAGCGGAAAGGAAACCAAAATAAGTGCATTTGCAGATGACATACTCCTCTTTGTCTCCCGCCCCAAGCCCTCCATACCACCGCTCATGGATCTCATCCGGGAATATAGCCTACTTCATACTACTCCCTAAATAAAACCAAGACTCAAGCTTTAGCTATAGGATTACCAAACCCTGTTCGAGAGGCCCTCCACACCAAATACCCATTTGAGTGGTGCAGACACAATATTAAATACCTAGGAGTGTTATTCACTAAACAGGCGACATAATTATACTCGGGGAATTACATAAGGGTATGGAGCAAATGCAAACTCATCCTCCAGCGTTGAGGCTCGCTGTACATGACCTGGACGGAGCGAATAGTGGCATTCAAAATGTCCATTCTACCAAAACTACAATATCTTTTCCGCACAATACCCATATAGCTCCCTCAGGCCTACTTTAAGAAAGCGGTTCACAAAGACATGTCCACATTCGTCTGGGCAGGCTCCCGACCGAGAGTAACCATGAAAATGCATCCCGGTTCCAACAAAGGCAGGGGGACTCACAGTTCCAGATATCGAGGCCTATTTCCATGTCTTGGTACTGGCCATGGCGATACCCCACTTCCTCACCGGTCCCCGGCCCCAGTGGGTAAACATAGAGAGCAATTGGCTACAGCCCTTCGACTTCCCCAGCATGTTCTGGCTGCCAAAACAGCTCACACCACCCTTGCCATCAGCACCACCCCAGATCACCCTGACTCTCTGGATCTGGGACATCCACAGAGCTAGATTAAGCTCTTCGAACCTACTCTCCTTGGCCACCCCTATTGGGGCCCTTCCGTACTGCATCCCCACCTTTCACGATAAACCTTGGCAAGCACAGAACCTGACGCACTTATACCACACTCATGCACAGGGGAAACTCATAGACTTCCAACACCTGCAGGACAGTCACAACCTGCCGAGTATCTCACAGTTCTCCTATCTCCAACTAAAATCCTTCCTCACACGAGGACAGGCACTAGCCCCCCTGCAACCACTCCCACACAAACACTCACTGTGTGGGAACAGATATGTATAAACAAAAGCTTACCTTTGCAATGTAAGCCCATCTCCATGTGCTACAAGTTAATATTAAGCTACCTCCCTTTCCATATGTCGCCACCTTCCCAGCAGTGGAGCATGGACCTAGGGATTGAGGTCTCCCAGCAGAGATGGGACCAACTGTTCACCACGACTAAATCCCTAATTAAGTCTGCTACCCTACTGGAACAGCAGAGAAAAACAATCTATAGATGGTACATGGTACCGACGCGCATCTAAAAGATATAACCCGATAGCTTGCCAAATTGCTGGAGATGCGACAACCAAGAAGGAACAGTGCTCCACATCTGGTGGCAATGTCCAAATATCCAACCATTTTGGATAGGGGTTCACACCATGCTGACCTCCTTGGCTGCAACCAAATTGCCCCTACAACCTAGCACGTATCTAACCATGCTCCTGCAAGACGGTCTCCCTAAGCAGTGGCGTACATACCGGGGTCGCAGGGGTTGCGGCTGTGACTGGGCCCGGCCCACCAGGGGGCCCGGCCACCCTGCAACCCGGTATGTACCCACTGTGGTCAGCCTCTTCTCCTGGGGGGCTCAGGAGCCGGCCACCTCAGGGCCCCCCGAGGCTGGCCCTGGTGTCATCTTCCGGCTCCGGTATCAGTACGCGGCGCGCGAGGGAGCTGAACAGGAAGCACTCAGGGGAGAGTGCTCCCTCGCGTGCTCGCCAGCCTGCCCGCCCGCCGGGTGACACCACTGGACCCCAGGGAATCCCCTCCACTCTCCCAAAGGTAGGGAGGCTGGGGGGATTAAATAAAAAAAAAAGTGAGTGTGTGTGTGTTAGTGTGTGTGTGTGTGTGAGTGAGTGTGTGTGTGTTAGTGTGTGTCAGTGAGTGTGTTACTGTGTGTGTCTGCTACTGAGTGTGTTAGTTTGTGTGCATCTGTTAGTGAGTGTGTATGCATCTGTTCATGAGAGTGTGTGTGTCTTAAGCACGTACCTTTCTCCAGCGCTGGACTCCCTTGGCGCTGGGGATCTCTCTGCCCTGATCCGCCTCTCAGCTCTGAATGCGCATGCGTGGCAAGAGCCGTGCACGCATTCAAACTGCCCATAGGAAAGCATTACTCAATGCTTTCCTACTCATTGCTTTCCTATGGACATTCAGCGTCTTCTCACAGTGAGAATCACAGAAGCTCCTCTAGCGGCTGTCAATGAGACAGCCACTAGAGGCTGGATTAACCCTCAGTGAAACATAGCAGTTTCTCTGAAACTCCTATGTTTTCAGCTGCAGGGTTAAAACTAGAGGGACCTGGCACCCAGACCACTTAATTGAGCTGATGTGATCTGGGTGTCTGTAGTGGTCCTTTAAGTGTATGTGTATCTGCATGCACTGGCGTACATACCGCGGTCGCAGCCCTGTGACCCCTGCGACCAGGTGCCCGCCACCATGTGTTGCGGCCCCAGCCCATGCAGAGTAAGTGAGCGGGGGGGCCCACGGGTCAGTTTTCGCACCGGGGCCCCATGGGTTGTGTGTACGCCACTGTCCCTAAGCATCTGCAGAAGCTTATGTACCATGTCATATTATCAGCCCAAAGACTAATAGCAAGAGCACGGAAATCCCCTAATCATCCCGCAGTGTCCACCCTAGCGATGGAAATAGATACACAATGCAAGTACGAGCAGGGCTTTGGCAGACTGTGGCCCCGAAATAAAACTACCCAAAGGACATGGGTGGCTTGGAGCACATGGAGATTGGCACAAGCCAGATCGCGCAGATTGTAACTACACCAGAAGGAGAGATTGGCAGGAATCTGCAAGAGACCCGATGAGGGCTGTGAACAGGATAATGTGTTGCAATATAAAGTTATGTACACCATTCAGTCTAATTCTGTCTATAAGAAATGTCAGATATGAACATGATGCATTCCCCCCCTTTTTTTTCCTTTCTGTACCCCACCCCCGTGTTAACTTTTCTACAAAAATAAAAATTGTCAAAAAAAAAAAGCTGAAGCATCTTTTGATTCACAAACAATTGTGTGTGTCTGATTGCTTCTTTGAGTGCTCAAATTTACAATTTGGTTTCCCTTGAACATATCGTTGGGTTATTTTTGTCCACAATTTCGGTGCCTAAAAAGAGACAATCCATTCCATTCGGACGAACTACTGGGAAACCGGAAGTTGTAGACTGTGAGTCTTAAGCTTCAGCAGGTGAGAAAAATGTCTTTTCTACCTATCTAGATTCACTCTCTATGTAGCTCTCTGAGTCCTATGTCCAGGTGAGTAAGGATTTAAATAGGTCTCCTCCTAAAGAACTTTTTTTCTGTAGTATAGTATGTTCAGGTGGAATGTCTTGTGAAAGAATTTTTTTTTTTCAAATCTTTTTATTGTAGAAAAGGCAGTAAGATGCTTAAAGCCAATCTCTTACCCATTTTTAAAAATGATAAAAACCCCACTGACATAAAAAATTATCGTCCGATATCTTTAATAGATGTAGACACTAAGCTATATGCTTCGGTTTTGGCTGCCAGAATAAAAAAACTTCTTCCATTAATTATTCATAGAGACCAAATAGGATATGTTCCAGGTAGAAATTCCTACACAAGTATAAGGAAAATTATCAATATCTTGGAAGATGCAAATAGAAATGATGTTCCAGTTCTGACTCTGTCGATCGATGCTGAAAAAGCATTCGACAGAGTCAGCTGGAAATATTTAGAAGCCGTTTTATCACACTATGGATTGGAAGGTTGGATTAAAAAAGCCATAATGGCGTTATACGTCAATCCAGTTGCACGGACTATTGGACCTAATATTGTTGCCCCATGGTTCCAACTATGGAAATGGTACTCGGCAGGGCTGCCCCCTTTCACCATTACTTTACTTGCTGACTATCGAACCATTGGCTGAAAATATTAGGAACAATAAAGAGATTAACGGATATAAAATAATGGATGAAGATCAAAAAATTAGTCTATATGCTGATGACATTTTAATTACTCTCACAAATCCTAAAAATTCTTTAGAGCATATAATGCAAGAAATAGAGCGATATAGTTTT